CAGGAAGAAAATAACAAATATTACTTGAGAAAGATATAGTAATTTAACAAATACTGAGATGATACCTGAAATTTCAGCTTTGAAATGTAGTCTTCCGTAGTCTCACTGACCACTTCTACTTGTAGTGGAACTATCTGCGAAGAATACCTTCCAGATTTCTTAAACGAACTTGGTTTTTTAACATCCTGCAACAAAGAAGAGCATAAGGGAAAAAACCAGAGAAATTTTTTCCCATGCAATAATTAAATAAAAAATAGCAAATACTTTTCCATCTGAGCAGTAAGAGAGCCAATCCCTGATTACAAACCTCTCTCAGAATCGAAAAATGGATTTCGTGTGTCGCTAGTGCAAGCATGATAAGATCTGCATCCTACAGCAAATTAAAAAGTTAAAAAAATATTCACAAGACCTTGCGTCTAATTGGAAAACATCTATATTGAAAGCAATAATTTGATTTACCAGGCCATACAAACAATGTCTCGTATTTGGATCAAAACCATCCAGATTCCGCTGCGAGCGGATATAAGACATTATTTTATGCTCCCCCTCACCAGGTACACAGGCATCAGAAAGTATTACCTGTAAAATCCCCGTGATTACAAGAAATATCAGAGCCAGGGAGAGAGAGACTTGAAACATAAGCAAGAGACTTTCAAAGTTACCTTGATTCCCTGCCACCCTGGCTCCTCGTTCATTCTCAAGTGTATATAATAATGAAGAGCTGAAGACAACAATGCCATGAATTCAGTTCCAGGTGTGATGACATTTGAATCAAGTTTACTAGACTGCTCCAAACAAGTAGACTTTTCTTGTGATTCAGAGACACTCCCGCCAATCTCCTCTTTGCGAGGAGCCTGACACAATGACAAAAAACTCAATTACTACAAAACGGACGTATCCCACTAGTAAGAACATTGCCAAAGAGAAATGCTAATTTGGGGGCCCACAAAATATGTTCTGCGGTAAGAAAAAGAAAAGTGGATCCTAAGTCACACTCTAGTTTTGTTTCCCCTCGAAGTGGGATAAACCATAAAATTACATGCCCAAAGACATTTTAGTACTTATCTTATGCTATTATAACTACGATTCCTAAAGCTAGTAAATACTAAAAAGATAATTGGATTGTTCTCAATTCCATTTCCTAATAAGTAAATAAATACTGAAAAAAATCGAAGACCCCCATTTTTTGTTCCTTTACATTCCTTTAACAACACAATTCACTTCCCATTACGATTTAGTAAACATTCCATTATTGTCAAATACCATGAAACTCATCTCATCAGCCGCATCCTTAGCAGCCCGGAATCGGCGAGTCCGTTGCTGATTCATCTTAGCTCGAGGCGCAACACCATCTACACAGTTGAACGAATCCCACAAAGTCAAAATAACATCAAACAAGAACATATAAATGAATCACTATCTTCCTCAAGACGAGATGAAAAGTCTGAAAGAGCAATTCGCACAGAAATAAATTAGCAAACCCACCGATTGCCAGGTATAACAGCTTCCGAGGTCTGACGACGGAGAAAACTTTGTCGATGTACTTGAACACAGATTTGAAAACCTCCTCGTACGTCTTCGGAGCAGGCTGAATCGACAGAACTCGCCAAAATCATAAATTTTTTCAAACAAACGCGTATTACGGAAGAATTTCACGATTAGCGGTTACGAAACAAAAGAAAAGGAAAGAAGGAAAATGAAGGAAATATAAAATGAAAAATTGACATTACCAATCCCTCGGGGTGGAAACAGGGGTGGATGATGCCGTTCATGTCGAGGTAGAGATTGTCGAACTCCATGCCGTTAGGATTAGCTCCAGTGAGGTCCGGCGCCGGCGACGGATCGAATACGACGTCGACCACCGAGAGAGGGAAACTTTCGAGAAGCCATTTGTAGAACGATGGAACTCCCATTCTTCGGCCACGGGAATCAAAACTAACCCGGGCCCGGCGGTGCTACGCAACTGAGTCAGTGGTGGCGGCGGTAAGAGTGAGCGAAAGATGGTTTAATTAGGGTTTGAGCAAACGAGAAGAAAGGACGTTGGAGCTGTCGCTACGCTTATATTTATATGGCCCAACCGTCATCAAAATGCCCGCAGAACATTTTTAGTTCAGAAATTGCAGTTAATAATAAATAATAAAAAATTATCACGTAGATTTTTAATTTATTTTAATTATTTACAATAAATCTAGTATTTACTCCATTTTCTCGTTTAATTTTATATTAAAAAAATATTTATGAATTAAAAAAATTTTACGTTAAAATCATGATTTTAAAAAAATATTATTAATTTTCATGAATTTTTTTATGATAGAGCACGAGCAAATAACTCTCTTAATAAAACATAGTTTTTAATGTTCTTTTTTTTAATATTTATTTTTAAACAACCGATTCGATTGTAGCATGTGAATTTCAATTATTAAGGCCTCATTCGTTTCGCGGATTCGAATTTTCAATTCGAGTTGAGATGTGATATTTTTTAAGAGCTTTTAACTATAGCAGAAAATGTTATATGTTACATTTTTTAAGAGTTTTTAACTGTAAAAACCTAAAATTAAAAACTTAAATCGATAAAATGAATGAGACCTAAGTTTGAGAGAATTTGTATTGCAATTTGCTTATGAATTTGTATTGCATTATTACGTGTTATCTAATTAGAGGCCATTCACTGTTGACATTTGATACTTTACTCATTATTTATCAATGCTACTGCTCTTCATGCATTTATCATGTACATTTGTTTGCTTTTCCCTTGAGCTTGACATTTTTTCTCTTTTGTTTTATCCCTGATCATTTATTGTGAACAAATTTTATTCTCTTGGATTTTGTTTTTACGTTTGTTTTTTGATTCATAGTTGTCAATTCTCTTTTTCTGTCTTTTTTGCTTCTTCTTATGTTTTTATCTTTTTTCCATTACTGTTTAAGTTCAAAAATTATCTACATCTATATTTTATTTCTTCCTTCAATATTGAGTTTTGGTTCTTTTACCTTCTCTTTTTTCTTTTACTTACTACATTTTTCTATGAATTTAAATTTTTTTGAAATCCTTATATTTTCTCTCATTTTTATCATAAATAAATTTCGATATTCTTAAAGTTTCAACTTTTCTGGATTGGTTTTTGTCCTCTACCCGTTATATATTCCTAAAGTTTCAACTTTTCTAGATTGATTTTTGTCCTCAGTCTGTTTTATATATCTAATGAATTTATGTCTCTTTCATTTTCTTTTGATTCACCTGGTAGTTCTTGAACAATTTTATATTTTACTCCGGTTGGTCATTTTTCATGGCACATGACTTATAATCCGTATGATGAGTGTAATACTTTCTTGGTGTTCACCTTTTTATGTCGTTGCCCATAATAGGTAGCCATAAAAGGGCTATGAATATGCAAGTTTGAATATTCATCATCCGTTGTCTAAAATACCAAAAAACCGAGCCATGATTTTAAATTAAAAACATTGTTACCTATATTACTCTTCTTTTTGCCTTATTGGATTCTGAAAATATACATATGAATATATTTGTATAATTGTTTGCATTACTATTTTTTCTCTCACAAAAAATACACATAAATTAAAAATTATTCTAATCTCATAATTCTAATTCATGAATTAAACGGGACAACTTTGCAGTTTTTTTGCCGCATGTTCCCTGTGGTAACTACAGTGCTTTACTGGCTTTATCCTTTTCCATTTATTTTTATGTTCAGTGTTCCTGATTTTTTATGTTTTATATACTGTTTTCACAATTTTATCAATTCTGATCATTACTGTTTGTCCAGTTATTTTATTCTTCTTTTTTTTTTCTCCACTTTTTTTCCATCTGCTTTCCCCCTTGCTTTTACTGTTTTTTAGACTTGCTCTAAGTCACTTGGTAGTTTTGGGACACCTTTCCACTTTACCCCTTCTACTTATTTTGCATTGTATAGATTTTATAATTTATATAACGAATATAATGACTTATTAAAGTTTCTATTTTTATACAGTTATCATTAGTCTTCTTCACTTTGTAAAAAATATTTTTATAGACATGCATAAAATAGACACTAATTTATAAGTATGTCATATTTGTTAGATATTGTTGATAATACTAAGTATCTGACCCATAATCAGTATATAAAACAATTACTATGTTCAAACTTTATTGACTTTTCCCGATCATATTTTATATACTTATTCATTTGCTTATTAATTCATTTACTTTTGTTACATTCCTTTTTTTTCCTTATACTTTTGTTTTCCTTTTCCTATAAGAGTTATATCATCACATTTCATTATAGAAAATCTCAAACTTGCTTATTTCTTGATTTATCTGCTAATTTAATCTATGTATTATCCTAATTCTATGGACTTTTTTTTAAGATAATTGTATTTAATGTGGGCAATATTTTATTTCTATGGTTGTAAATAGCTAATCATTGTACTTATTTGTATAGTACTTTAGTTCAAATGCATTGTGCTGACAAATATGTCATTTAATAAATTTATTAACTATATTGATTATTAAGAGGCTGTCACAAATGTTAAAATTCTTGATTTATGAAAAGATAAAATGAGTTTAATATTATTACAGGATTATTTATTTTATTAACTGTTACTAATTTTGATATACTGTTGTTCAGTGCATATAGATAACTTGCGTAAGCATATTTAGTCCCTTCTGACGTTTGACTGCCTGTTGTTTCATTTTTAAAACAAGATTTATAGTGTTGTAGGTATTAAAGATAGCCTCTACCTATAGCAATTTAATATCCCTTCCTGATTCTTAATAAATTGATTTTCTCTCATCATATTAATGTGTGTATTTTTTGATTTCTTATTCTCCTTGATAAAAATCATATATTTGTGACTGCCTCTTTTTTATCTTTTTCCCTTTTAAATCCTACTGTTCTATAAGCATATATCTAGCTAAAACATTTGACTTTTGACTCAATAGTCATACATAGACTTTTTGTGGCTATGATGATTAACAAGAAACTTGATATATTGAGTTTTGTCTAAATTTTTCTGAAATTGTTCCTATTTAGATTTTGATTTAGCCTATTATTTTCCACAAAATTTTTTATACTATCTCTACTTCCTCCTGCCCACATATTTTGATTGTCCTGATTTTTATTTAATAAAAAAATCTGGTGGATTACTGTAGTTAGCATAGTGTTTTACCGGATTTGCTCCTTGTTCCCTTCCTCATTTCTTTATGTGTCAGCGAATGTTTTTAGTCCTCTTTGTTCTCAATGTGTTGTTCAAATCACGCTTTTGTCCTCATTTATCACAATATTATATACACATATCCACATTATTATTATTTTTATATATACTAAAGTAGAAGAGGAAATAATTGTTCATTGTACATTAAATGAACAATGAATTTCTCCTTTTGCCCTTTTTTTAAGTTTCTCCTTCGGATTTGCCCTTTGATCCTTCCTCCTTCCCTTTATACTCAGGAGTGGCTTTTTACTGTTTAATGTTTTGAATTTACACTTTTGTCATTGCCTGTTTACTTTGCAGTTTACCTTGACTTGGGTCTTTTTCATCGTTTTGATGTGCTGAGGCTTTAGCTTCTATCTTTACTTAGTGGTTTTCTTTTTGTATGTACATATATATAATGAAACGCAAACAATAATACAACGTAATATACAGACATTTTTAATGAACCTATAAATATATGTACATATATATATGCGTATATATAATAAAAACTCCTAACCTCCTCTGTGATATAACGATCTTCCCAGCAACAACGCGGGTAAAAAAAACTGCAATGTAAAAACTCCCGACTTCTTCTATAATATAACAATCTTCCCTGCAGCATGGCAAAATCAGGAATTGACTCTTATGGCATCGTCACTTGCTGTTTTTTTTTTTTTTTTTTTTTTTTTTTTTTCT